CTGTCTCCCTTATTATTCATGATGTACCTACAAGGATTAGAGGCGAAATTAGAGGGAAGTGGACTGACCTTCAACCTTTCTTTCGTCAAACAAGGAAAACCCATGGAACAGGCACTACCATCATTGATGTACGCAGATGCTATAGTGCTAATGGCCGACAACAAGAAAGATTTGCAGAGATTCGTCAACATCTGCGGTAATGAGGGAGAAAGGTTAGATTTCACATTCAGTAGGGAAAAATCAGCAGTCATGATTTTTAATGACAATGAAGGTAGTGAGCTTAGAATACAGGAGGTCACGCTAGAGATAACAGATAAATACAAATGTCTGGGCGTATGGATAAGCAATGGGGCTGAGTACCTAAGGGAACATGAAATATACGTGACGACTAAAGGTAACAGGAATGCAGCGGTAATGAAAAACAGGGCACTGTGTAATTACATTAGGTATGATGTTGTCAGAGGAATATGGAAAGGGGTCATGGTTCCTGGTCTCTGACGTTCGGCAATGCGGTCTTGTGCATGAGATCAGAAGTCAAGCAAGGTTAGAAATTAAGCAACGTAAAATAGGTAGGCTTGCCGTAGGAGCTCACGAGAATACACCAAATCAGAGAGTACAAGGTGATATGAGATGGACATCGTTTGAGAGCACGGAAGCTAGCAGCAAGATAAAATTTGAGAAGCAATTGAGAGAAATGGGGGGGGGGGGGGGGGGAGCGTTGGGCTAGGAAGGTATTCAGCTACTTGTACATGAAGAATGTCGATACAAAATGGAGGAAGCGAACCAGGAAGTTGACATGTAAATATTTAGAAAACAGCAGGGGGCCAAACCAAAAAGAATTATCGGTTAAGAAAAAGGTGAAGGAAGCTGAGACCGATTTTTGGAGAATTGGCATGATTAAGAAGTCCGCACTAGAGGTCTATCGAACTTTTAAGCAGGAAATTGCCAAGGAAATGATCTATGATAATACTCGGGGTAGTTCTCTACTGTTTGAGGCCAGGACGGGAGTATTGCGAACCAAGACTTATCGGGCCAAATACGAAGAGGTAGACACGGTATGGAGTGCGTGTGGAGAGGAAGAAGGAACTGCCGAACACTTGATAATGTTTTTTTTAAAGGGCTTCGCCCTAAAGTTCAGGATGATGGCACAGAGTTTTTCAAAGCAGTGGGGTTTAGGGACAGGGAGGGCAAGATAGACTTTAAGCGGGTAGAATTAACTAGAAGGAGGTTATCTGATTGGTGGCTAAAGTCAAGGCATAAGTGAAAATTAAACCCTTCAGCGCAAAGTACGAATCCTCAACCTCACTATTTAAAGGAAAAAAATAAATCAAGTTTTTGATTCATTAAGTATTACGGCTTGGTGGCGCTAGCCACCACCAGATCTAAAGGGTACAGCCATATTCATCCATCCTTAGAAATATCGCTAGATGGCATTATTGGTTTTCGTATAGTTAACGGACGGAGGGACAGACAGAGACGGATCTGGACGTATAGAGTCGGCCGGACGAATGCTTCGCCCCACTTATCATCATTCACTGCGCAGATATGCTGCGATTTTTTTTCCTTGCCAGCAGCTCGTGCGACAAGGGACCTGATCGCTCTTCTTCTTCTATTTTTTCTTTGCATTGTTTGTACTCCGGTGTCTGAAGAGTGTTCTGGTGACTTCGTCGTTGCCGCCTACACTCTACCTTTGTTTTTCTACGCACCGCATGATAATGTGTAATTCTCCGTTCGTATAAACTGATTCGTTCTTCTAATCTCTATACTGCTTCCTGCGTGTTGGTTCATCATCGCCGTCGATCATGGTGAAAGGTCTCCGTGATCAAGGATGAAGAAAAATTGAAAACTTTACCTCCGCCTTACGCAATGCCTCATTTATGGGCCTGTAAGGTACTTTTGAATAAATAAATAAATACGCTAATAAAGCAATTTAGAAAGCTGGTTCTGAGGGCATACCGAACTAAAGGTCACCTGAACACTCTTCCTGCCGTCCCAACGCTCAGTCGATTCATATCTAAATGCGCTCCGGTTAAAACTCCAACGCATAGTGCTGCGCTAATTCTTTGTGCATGCCCTTCGAAAGCTATACTGGCCAAGATTGATCACTGTTCGCGAGAAACCTGAACTGCTCTGCATAACGACGGGTTAAAGGCCGATCAGGGCAAGCTCACCTTTTAAGTGCCTAGGCTGTGAGAAAGGCAGCAGCAAATTGGCAGCCGACTCGGGAAGTGGCGCGGGTACCTTATACCTATACCTTTCCTGCCCGTTCTTTTTTTATTAGCTTTTTGTGCTTCACACTTTAGTGCGAAGAAACAATTTAGTTGTTTTATAGTCTGCTTGGTGCCAGACATGCTTAAGCAATACGCCGAATTTGGCTTGCCCTTATAAAGTGTACGGTGAAACCATTAGGCCGGTGGGCGGTAGGAGCCCCTGGTACGGGCTGAAATGGCCCGGAAAAGAATTTAATTACTGCCGGTGAACGACGCAGAGGCAAACGATCCAAAGTGCTTTCCGTGTCGACGGCTACCACCTTTAGGACAGTGAATACGCTTAAATCTATTAAAAAAACATCCCAGGTTTCGGGGGAGGGGGGGGGGGGGGTCAAAGAAATTGCGAAAGAACGTAGTGGAGCCGCTTGCTTCTGCCGTTGAAGCGAACGGTTCGTCTAAGTGTGAGCTTTGTCACTTTCGTGATTGTCGGATGAGAGTTCCTTTGTATGTTCTTGATGATACCCCAATGCATGTATTTGCCTTTGTGCTGGTGAATTTATTGAGATGGACGTCTGCCGAACACGTTCGTTTTCGTTACGTTCTAGATGTAGAGAACACGCGGATTGAAATGGGACAATATAGGGCTAAATAATGCACATGCAGTGGCTTGTATATCGTCTTCTGCTGGGGTCGAATTGGCGTAATTTTCACTCGAAGGTGTATAACAGGGCCGACATTATTTTTAGAGACCGGAGTCGTCGTGACACGACATGGCCATCTCGACCAATCACGCATACGAGTCGTTATACTGATACACTTGATGTCACGCTTGAACCTGCGAGTACTCTAGGCCAGTTCTACACAGTCATTCGTAAAAACCGTTCTTACAAGCTGCCAAATCGGTCTATACGTCACTCGTGGGGTGAATCACTTCAGTGGTACCTAGGCCGGAGAACGAGTGCATTCGCATCAGGTTCGGCAAAGTTCTGGAAACCTAGCGCGGCTAAATGGTAAAACAACGGAAGTAGTTCCTTTCAGCAGTTATTTATACAACTCTCACGTTTTGTTGGTGCTCCTATTACTCACGCTTACAGGAAGTTTTCAGAAGCCTAGAATGGGAACAGTTAGGGATAAGAGTTAATGGAGAGTACCTTAGTAACCTGCGCTTCGCCGATGACATTGCATTGCTGAGTAACTCAGGGGACGAATCGCAACTCATCATTAAGGAGTTAGACAAGGAGAGCAGAAAGGTGGGTCTTACGATTAATCGTCAGATAACGAAAGTAATGTACAACAATCTCGGAAAGGAGCAGCGCTTCGAGATAGGTAATAGTGCACTTGAAGTTGTAAAAGACTATGTCTACTTAGGGCAGGTAATAACCGCAGAGCCGAACCACGAGATTGAAGTAACTAGAAGAATAAGAATGGGGTGGAGCACATTCGGCAAGCACTCCCAAATTATGACAGGTAGATTGCCACTATCCCTCAAGAGGAAGGTATATAACAGCTGTATCTTGCCGGTACTTAGCTATGGAGCGGAAACCTGGAGACTTACAAAGAGAGTTCAGCTTAAATTGAGGACGACGCAGCGAGCAATGGAAAGAAAAATGGTAGGTGTAACCTTAAGAGACAAGAAGAGAGCAGAGTGGATTAGGGGACAAACGGGGGTTAAAGTTATCATAGTTGAAATAAAGAAGAGGAAATGGACATGAGCCGGGCATTTAGCGCGTAGACAGGATAACCGCTGATCATTAAGGGTAACTAACTGGATTCCCAGAGAAGGGAAGCGGCTTAGGGGGAGACTGAAGGTTAGGTGGGCAGATGAGATTAAGAAGTTCGCGGGTGTAAATTGGCAGCAGCAAGCACAGGATTGGGTTAACTGGCGGAACATGGGAGAGGCCTTTGTCCTGCAGTGGACGTAGTCAGGATGATGATGATGATGATGATGATGATGATGATGATGATGATGATGATGATGATGATGATGATGATTACTCACGCTAAATCTCATTCACGCGTGTTTTTGGCATTTGACATTTCTCTCTAAAATAGAGGGAAACTGAACAAAGTAAGATTGAAATTTCATTTTTCATTGCGTGCGAAAGGAAAGTATGAGGGAGCGCTGTTACGACTCGGAATGCCTGGCCTGCCCGAGCATGGCACCTTCTAAACATTGTTGCCACCGGCTTGCTTTACAGCCTATCTATGTTTTATACAGACCTTGTGCGACTCTTCAAACCGGCTGGATGTTTGCACGCATGCACAAACAGCATCCTTCTTTTGAGTGAAATCATTCTGACTGATTAATGGCGCTGTCGCCTACCGCTTGAGGCCAAGACCTGAGTTCTACGAAGCCGAAACAGGGGGGGGGGGGGGGGAGGCGCCCAATCGGGGGTTGAGGGGTTTTCTCGCAGGCAAAAAAAGAAATCGGGCTAATAGTAATGGATAATAATGTTAAAAACGACTGGGATAGACATTTGTATTTTCAGCATGCGTGTAACAACATTGTAGTTCACAAACACAGGGTACAAACAGCAAAAGTCCCAACTAAGGTCAAAATTGCCGTGTTGGTCTACAGATAGGCAGTGTCAAGGGGAAGGGAATGTTTCCACACATCACGCCAGCGGCTGCATAATACTGCTACTCGGGCTGCATGTCATGCGGGCCGCAGGTGGCCGACCCCTGGATTGATGTATATGGTGATCGCCAGCAAGCACCATTTCAGTTCCGACGAAACACAGCGATTCAACGCCACAATCTGCAAACTTCAGCAAGGGCAGAAGTACCGCCATGATCCTGGACGGGGCAGCCAGCTCTGCTCATGTGAGCAGGGTTGCCAGCACAAGCAGCGGATTCCGGGCTTGCGAATGGAGTGGCACGAACAACGTCGGGACAGCTTGCTACGGTCTATACGTGACCATGAAGTAAAAGCGGGAAAAAAAAAGAGATCAACGCTTACAAAGCAGCAACGCAGAAGAACAGTCTGGAAGCCACTGACTCTTACAACGCGCCGCCAAGTTTGGAACCTACAGTATAAGACCACTGTCGGTGGTGGTGGGGATGAGATCTCGGGGAAACAAAGAGATACGAAGACAAACTTATATTTCCGCGTCGACGATTGGGCGATTCCGAAACTCGTGCCAAGTGCCAACGAGCCTAATTTCCCGCGAGAGAAGTGCGTTGTGCGACTGCCTGCCTCGGTTTGTTTTTTTTTTTTTCTTTCTCGCTCTGTTCTCGCCTGTTCATTGGCGGGAGGCACTGTAGCGCCCCCTCACGCACGATCAAGCCAGTGCGCTCGGAAATCATATCGACGGGGATAAAACAAAATGGCCCGAGTAGACAACGAAAGTTGGGCCTGCGGAAAGAGGGCGCGTATGGAAATTGGAAATACGAAAGGGAGTCTCCGACATGGCTTACTTGGCTGCTTTTTTTTTTTCTTGTTCGGAAGACACTGGAAGCAGCGCGGCTAAAAGTTATGTACATACATGCAAGAAAGACAAAACGCGGAGAGCTGCTGTATCTAAACAAAATGGAAGACAGAGTTGTGGGAGAAGGGTGAGAAGATGTGGGGGGGGGGGGGAAAGGAAGTCGCTGCTAACGTTGTTTCCATTCAGCTAGAATGACGTTGCGACGTGTCTCGCGTGAGGCATTGACGTGAATGAGGACCATGAAAGGGGCGGACGAAATGTGCAAAATAACACGACAGGATTCCCTACAGGAAACGCTCCAAGAACAAGGAAAGGTCTTACGGCAATTTCTCTTTGTTTCTTTTTTTTTTCTCTTTCCTTGCTGTTCGCCAGCCGTCACTTCTACTCACCCGATCTGTCACGGCTTGAGCAAATGATCGCGGAAGAGAAAAAGACGACGCTACGAACGACACGCGGAGGAAGTAAGCGCGTGAAGTTTTACGGTGTAGTATTTTGCGCCGTGGCTATTCGACCGCCATGTTTACTACGCCCGCTTTGGTCCTCTGGGTTTTGTTTGGTCCTCTGGGTTTTGTCTTTCTCTCCAGCAAGGGGGTCACGGGGTACCTTCTTTTTCTGGTGGCAATTGAGGCTGTCGAGAAACGAAGGCGACGGGGAATAATAAAACAGCTCCGCTGAAGGACGTGCGTGCTTGGACTGTTCGGACTCCTTCGCGTTATTATTACACGCTTGGCGGAGGAGTGCACGTTTCCGTTTAGTTTTTGTCGCGCGCGTTGTTGCGCTTTCCTTGTCGCTCGAAGGAGAGGTCAAGCACGGGCACTTTATACTCCCTATACGGTTTTATGGCGCGCGACGCAACCTTGCAGGATTATTCGGGGCCCGATATGTGCGGGTGGACTCTTTTATTTTTCGCTGTCCGCAGGCCAAGGGGCAGTGTACACTGCAAAAAGAACGAAAAACCATACGACTTCTGAAACAAAACAAAAAAACAACAAAAAACAGTTGAGCAGGGTGTGACAAATTGTCCGTGCAGTATTCCTATATGCGACCTTTAACAAATTAAAGCTCATAAATTTTCTTACAAAAAAAAAAACAGCCAGGCCTGCGCAGACCAAAGAGCACAGTGACAGTGAAAGCTGGAAGAGTGGACTTTCGTAGCCTGTCTGAACATTTTTTGGTGTAACTGCTACAAGCACACATGCCGGGCACCCACTGCGCAATTAATCATTATAATTCTTGTGTTGTAAAGACACATTCACTATGAGGTCCTTCGTCATTCTTCGGAGAAGCGTGGTGTCCATTACACACCCGCAAGGAATCTTGTGCGATTTCTGTACGCCGTGGCTGGCGACGATAAACAATTATGCCTGAAGCTTTTGTAATGGGGGTTGGAGCATTGGATGACACACTCGTTAAGAAATTCGCATTGTATGACGCCTGGCTGGTCCTTTGCTGTTCTGAAACGCTTTCACATACTGATATTAACACGATTCTTTGCCCGACATTAAGCTGGCCTAAGGACAATTTGCAATTGTCCTTAGGCCTGCTTGGCTCTGTGGCAAAATACTGGGCTGGAACGCAGGAGACCCAGCTTCGAATTCCATTGAGTCATTCGCGTTTTTTTCAATTACTTCGTTTTTTTACTTAGTTTTTCATTTACTGACACCTTTAACAACAGAGTTCCTTCTTTCGTTACTGGAGCTGAGATGACGCCATTCCAAAGCTGGAACCACAATTATATGCTTCCAAGCTTGCGCGGCACCACGTCAGCGCGCGCATCACGATTAGGTATGTTGATTTGAACCCACACGTTAGGCGCACTTACTCAAAGCAGGCAGAAGTTGGCAGTTGTCAATTCGCACTGAGGTATTTGTGAGCTTCGAAATGAGCAATACAGACTTGAATACCCTCCTTCAGGTTTGGAGCTTGTGCCGGAAAAAAAATTCCCTGACGATTTCAATCCTGCCTAGCGTGAATTCTAATACAATTTCGTGTTTGCACACGGCTAACTGTATTTGAAGCTTTGGCATTCCGCAAAGTATCTGCTACATCGTAAGTTACAATTTTTGTGGAGTAGGATAACACCCACTACGCTGTTATTCGCCTTTCTGCGGATAAGGAGGTACCCGCTACACCCCTGTAGGCATTATGAGCATATTGTTGACAAGACTGCAGTGTGCGCGCGTGTGCTGCCGAATGTGCTGTGTTTATCTCTCTTCCCTCTCTGCTCTCTATCTTTCATCTCCCCCATCCCCCTCACATGCGCAGGGTAGCAAACCGGCTGCCTATAGACTGGTTAACCTCTCAGCCGTTACTTTCCTCCTATTTTCCTTCCTTGTTGATGTTGCTCGTGGCAGATTACGATGAAGAACTGTGCACGAGCACTTTGCGATGGGTGGGAAACATTAAAGCGTACACTCCTTGCACATGTAGCGCCATGTGATGATTGGTTGCTATTTCACTTTTCTTGCACGCTATGTTTCGTAGTTAAGCATGATTCTTCGTCGAACGTAACGCCTGTACGCGATATTTTTTTGCAAATCAGTTCCTAGCAACAGCGTGGCTCTGTGGCAGAATACTCGACGGTCACGCAGGTCGCCCAAGGTCAAATCCCATTTTATGATGAGTACTTCTTTCTCGTAACGTTCTTTTTCCACCTATATCGGCTATGCCACCAATGGCAACGGCAATGGCGATGCCGCTCAAGGCAGGAACGCGCACCTATGACCTGTGCTCTGCTCTGAAAGCCATACTTCACCACGTGGCACGGCCTCCACGGCCATTCAAACATGAACGCAGCGCGAGAGTACTGCTTCAATACACCACGCTCCGTAGGTCGAGCTTGTGCCGGACGAAGCCATTTCTCAAACGTTGACGGGTCAAACAAACGCGAGTGCCTGCTGTAGGGCATCCTGTACATCGTTGTAGTACGCACAAGCGAGCCAATGGATCTCATGTACCGCTTCAATATTACTAAACACCCATTAATAACGCTCGTATAGGAGCATGTATATCTTTAAGTGTACAGTCGCATTCCATATGACTTGCAACATGGGAGCGCGTGGCCTCACGAGTTCAACGGTCGCGAACGGCTTCAACTTTTTTCTTCAACAACTATACCCAAGTTCGAGAAACGCGTTTCGTAATAGAAATGAGAGCTAGTAGAAGCCATGCGCAAAATTTGAATTCGTGAGGACACGCAATCCCGTGTTGCAAGTCGTATTGAGCGCGACTGTACTTGTGCATACAGGTTGCAAGGTCGATGCAAAAAGAAAATGAAAAAAAAAAGCAATCTGAACTGGCTGCTCTACACGTTGCCTTTCGGCTGGTGACTGAGTAAGCCACGTCATATATAGTGGCGCTGCATGCCCAGGGCTCCGAGCGCGTCTACACGTGAGTGGATTCAAGATCGACGTCAGACGACATCTTGAAAATAATGCAGTGGAAAAGACGGAACACACACACAAAAATGTGAGACGCAAACAAGAGCGCAGACTTACAGAAAAATGTATTCGTCAACGTCGTGGAATATAATATACTTGCGGAGTCCTAAGTGGAAGAAGGAACAGTAATAAGCGATAATAAAAAGAACAAAGTATCACTCTTATAACTAAAAAAAACTATCAGTTTCAAACACTGTTATAACCACCGATGTTGCGTATAAAACCATCCGACAAGATAATAAATTTTCTTGCCTGTCAAGGCAATCTAACTGTTTTATTTCCCAAGATGTTTCACTAACACGCCCAAGCATCTATTTTAGTCAGACCGCATCAAATATTCGCGTACCCATGACCGTTTTGGCGCGCTTGTTCCTTCTGCCCACGACAGCAAATGGTCGTGGAAAAGTGTGGCTAGCTTTCAAGGACGACATAAGCCCCTAATTATTTGTGAAATAAATTGGGCATTCAGTAATTTTTGAAGGTCAATATCACTGTTATTGTTTACGTTGGACATTGCGGATAATATGTACGAAACGTAGCATAGGTCGAGTAAACTGCGCTAACTGACACAAGCTACTTTCATCTATATGGTCGCTGCCAGGGCTGCACCGTTTTATTTATTTATTTATTTATTTATTTATTTATTTATTTATTTATTTATTTATTTAATAAGTTCAAATATGCTGCCAGTTTCACACATGAGGTCATAGGCAGGGGTGGGTGATACACAAAAAGAAACATAAGGAAAACATACAACAAAAAAAGAGGAAAGCATGCCACAAAAAGTTACACCATCGAGAACTATCAAAATCAAGTGCCAGCACTTACACAATTATAGAAAATTTTCCCGTACACGTACTAAAAAAGGAGATAAAAAGAAATTAACAAAAAGCAACGACTACAAACATCTACCCATACAAAACCAAAAAGGAACCGCCCTATAGCGGGGAGAACATTACGTTTTAGTTCAGTGCCGAGTGTAATAATTCAGTCGAAACGTGAGGCCGTTGTTGCCATAAGACGACGTGATGGAAATATTTAGCTGCAAGGTGACTCATTGAAAGTCCAGTTGTGAAAACAGCTAGTGCCTTCGAAGGACAAGAAGGTGGTGCGTATAAAAAGTGCTTCGACATTGTCATTCCTAAAGACAGTGTGCATACATGGACACGAGAAAGAAGTCCAGACACCACAGACGCGTTTGTGTTGCCCTGGCCTTTTGCTTGCGCCCGCGTTCTAAGACACTGTTATGCTGAAAAAACGGAGCAACCGACAGAGAGAAGAGAGGAAGAGAGAGTACAGCCTTCGTCAAATTACTCGCTCCACTCCGAAGCAACAGCCACCGTTGTTCGGGATATTGGCCACATTCCGAGGGAGTGCAGGGGCACTTTCCATCGAAGCTGTGCAAGAGACAAAAAAAAAAAAATGCCGAAATGAGCTTTCACTTGCTATTCCCTCTTTTTTTATTCTGAATATTTTTCCCTTTTTGTGGGTGAGTCTTTCCGCGAGCATAGCTTGATATTCAAGTGTTCAGATCAAAGCGCAGCCGAAGAGCAACGTGGAGGAACATTCGTATGTTCCTCCACGTTGACGCATGTTTCAATGCGTAGGTTCGGCGTCGTGCTAGGTTCTTGAAACGAGGTCCTGTAAAAGCCCCCCCCCCCCCCCCCCCCAAAAAAAAAAAATCAAGGCGCCGGGCCTGGCTCCATAGCTTCGGTAGCATACGAAGTCATGAACAAAGAGCCTTCCTGTGGTAGGAAAATAGAGAAAGCTCCCTGAGCCTCACCTAGTCGCCTCACTAGTACGTCGCCCCACCGCGATGGTCTAGTGGCTATGGTACTCGGCTGCTGACCCGCAGGTCACGGGATCAAATCCCGGCTGCGGCGGCTGCATTTCCGATGGATGCGGAAATGTTGTAGGCCCGTGTGCTCAGATTCGGGTGCATGTTAAAGAACCCCAGGTGGTCGAAATTTCCGGAGCCCTCCACTACGGCGTCTCTCATAATCATATGGTGGTTTTGGGACGTTAAACCCAACATATTAATCATCAATCAATCGCTAGTACGTCACTTTCAGTTGATTTCCTGAGTGGTATATTTAAGAATACTTTGCATGTACAAAACTTCGGGCTGATTCTTTCGGAGCGTGTTTAATATGCACCGCTTGGTTCGCGTTCCAGTCTTGAAGACGAAACGCAAGCGTCCGCCATGTTTGTTTAGATCCGAAGCTTCTTTTGCTCGGGACTGTGTCCGTCCCTCGGCGACCGTCCACTCCCTCCACTGCGCATGCGCCAACTCTCCCCCTTCACCTCGTATGAGCGCGAGGAGGTGGGGTGGAGGAGGTGGCAGAGCGCTGCCTCTGCTTTGTTTCTCCTCTCCCGTTTATCTCTGCGCCCACAGCTTTGCGCTCCTACATAATGCTTCCCGTACTCGCGCCGCTGCACTCTCCTGAGAGCGCAGGAGATTGCGGCTCACACACGGTAATACACACAAATGTGAGGGGGGTGTAACATAAGCGGTACACAACACATACACAACTTCACACACAAATTAAACAAAGATGGAAAACGCAAATGGAGACAAGAAATGACAACACGAGTGAGCACCTGCGTGGCTTCGTTAGTTCCGTTACGGTGAGTTTTATGGCGCGGAAGCAACAATGGCTATGATGCGCCAGACACTGGGTGATTTTGATAATAGGGTTAAAATATGAGATGAAAAACAGATTTCTGTTTACAGTTTGTTTAAAACGCCTGCGGCCTCTACAAATCGGAGAACGTCCTCTATGGAGATGATTGCATTTTCTGATAGTATTAACATTGGGTGGAGCGGTGTTTGTGTTCTGTAAAATTGTTTAAAATAAGCCTGTCTTCTTTTTTCAAAGACTGGGCATGTTATTAAAATATGATCAATAGTAAGAGGTTCCTTACAATGTTCGCATTCTGGTTGATTTTCTCCGCGCAACAAGAAGTTGTGGGTGAGGTGCGTATGACCTATCCGCAGGCGGCATAATATTACTTCGCTGAAGCGCTTTTGGTGATTGCATGACTTCCATTCTTGTAGAATAGGCTTGACAATTTGCAGCTTGTTATGCACTTGAGCCTGCCACTCTTCTTGCCATTTTGCCTTAAAGGCTGTCCGACAAGTGCTGAAACATAACCACGTAGTTCTCTTTAGTGGGAAATGGAACAATTTTTTACGCTTTATTTTTCGCCGTATTCAGTCGTAATTTTCTTCTCTTGCCCTGTAGATGTGGTGCGCCGTGGCCGTCCTGTGGTGCGCCCTGCTGCAACCGTCGCGGGTCTCGTCCGTGCAGCGGCCGTGCGACTTCAACCGGCTCTGCCTGTGCAGCCACGACGTGGTGCGCGAAGTGGTGTGCGTCGGGGTGCCGTTCTCCGTGTTTCCCACCACCATTGGTGAATGCGAGAACGGGCAGGTGAGTGCTATACCCGACTGTTTCAAAACTACGTTTCCGACTTCGCCGCTAGGGAATGCATGAGCCGCAGGCGTTATTTCCTTCGTACGCTTGTTAAAAACCCGAGATTGGAGCAGTGCTGCGATTCGGCCTGGTTGGAACAAGTTCACCTTAAATGGACACTATAAAGAACAAAATGCTTTTTCGCTTATTAGCGAAGTACAATTTGACAATCCCGAAAACACCACTCTTACCGCGACATGATGCTTATTAAGCGAGAAAACGTGCAAAAAAAAAAAACTGTGGGTGGAGACGCCATCTTGAGATTTCCGCACCAAACTGTGACGTCATAAATTTTTGAAGGCGTCGACTGGGTCCTACGTAGCTTCTAATCAATGAAATTGGTGTACATTGTGATCTGTGGGTGCCATAGACCTAGCATACGATAGTTTCAGAAAATTTCATCAAGCCAGTGTCGCGAAAATACGAAATATACATTGTGGAATATCTTACGTCACATGCGTAGATTATGGCATGAAATTCAAAAATGAAGCTTATGTTGATTTTATCCGCTAACGATGAACTTAAGACGATGAAGCGTATGACATTATAGTTTTCAGGGTGAAGTTTATCAATATAAATCTACTCATTATTTTTAATGTCCCTTTAACAGATTCACGTAATTACGGTGAGACAAGAAAGACAAATGGATGAACGCAATAGAACAACTGGTTTATTTTTTTAACATTTAATTATTAAGCTTCTGATGTGCGTCATGTCGTCGAATGAACTCATGAAAACGCACCTGGCACAGCTCGTGATCACATGATCTAGTCTATAGACGACACGAGCGAAATTTCTTTCTCATGAAAGGCAACAGCCGGGGGGCTAACGTACTTTTTTCTTTTTGCATCTCAGTGTCGAAGGCCTCCTATATCTCCCTCGGAGTTTACCTGCGATACCTGTACTACTAAAACAAGGCACGCTTGCGCAATCATTGCAGTGCAGCACACAATGTGTACTAGGATGACTTTTATTCTTATGTGGTTCTTAAAGAGAAAAGTGAGCCCCGTAACTGTCTGCATCAGAGTGCGACACCTCAACAGTAGCTCACGAGGGATGGGGGTAAGGAGGGACTAAGGATAGGATTAAATGTATATAGATGGCGAGAGGAAGGAGAGAGCGAGGCGCAGGGTCAGTGAACGACAGAAAACGACGGAAGTACGTAGGAAATAGGAAAGATGGACACGGTCGCAGTTGTCCGAGGACGGTGCACCGCTCAGCGAGAGCTCTAGTCGGCGGCAAAAGATGGCGCAGGCGAGCTAGTCGGCCAGAGCTGCGCTGTCGTCGGAGATCGCGGGGGCACGAGCGGTCTGCACGAAATCCAGAGAGCGAGTCCCAGGACGACTTTTACGATTCTACATATGTTCTCTTAGCCTAGTGTTAATTTGAACTCATTGCGCTCGTCAGTGTGATGGTACAGACTCGACACGACCTGCCATTTATGAAGGGATAAGCCTTACGTGTAACTGTGTCACTCACCACTCTGCCACTCATATACATCCTTGAGTGGTCAGTGTGACGAGCGATTTACAGTAACACCGAACGATCAAACTGCTTCGCCCACTCATCAATCAATCAATCAATCAATCAATTTATTCAGCTTCTTTGGATACAATGTAACATCTTTAGTAGTAAGTAATACATTCGGAGGTCCCATAGTTTCAGGAACTGACGGGGGGACCTCCTAATACTAGAACATGTGTAAGTTGAATAACGTGGGCAGCATGAAAAAAGCGTGCTCTGATAGCAAAAAAAAAAAATACATGTATAAAATTTACAGGAAAGCTAAAGGAGCTACATAAGAAGAGTAAAAGCAAGAAATGAACAAAAAAAAAAAAAAAAAGACAAAAAGCAACAAAAAAACTGGCATGGTATTTAAGTCTATGACTGTAATATACGCTGGAAAATAAAAACACAGTTATAAGGGAAATCTTCATGACACAGGCGTCATGAATTCATCAAAACAAGTGAACATAGTAAGTTTTAACACAATAGCAGCATATAAAATAGTGAATACCAAACGCTATAATAATTACGGCTACAAAACAAAAGCAAGATTAATTCATATCGGTAATAATAGCAAATATTCAGCAAATGATAGCAAAATATTCAGCAAATGATAGCAAAATATTCAGCGGTAATGGTAGCAAATCAAGCATGCGCGAAAAAAAAAAAAAAAAAAAAAAAAAGGCAGATCCCTGAGTTAGTGTGCCTGCCCACATAATTTGCCGAGACAGTATTTTTTGTGAAGGCTTTGAAATGTATGTACAGAGGATGCTGATTTAATTTCGTATGGTAACGAATTCCAAATGGATATGCCTGAAAAAAGGGCTGTTAGTTTCGCGTAATTTGTTCGAGCGGCGGGAAGAAGTAGATTGTCGTTTGAAGAGAACCTCGTAATGTTAGTGTTGACAAAAAATTCATTTGAGTAAGCCGGAATGGAGGTGCCACATCTCTTTAGCCGAAAAATAAATAGAGATAGTTTTTGTTTAAGTAGTTCTGAGAGTGGCAAAATATTTAGATTTTGGTATAGCGGTTTAGAGGGGGTAAAAACATTACTGAAGGTCATTAGTCGTATAGCTTGGTTTTGCAGGCGTTGAAGGGAATCGAGGTGACAAAAGTAAGTATTAGCCCAAGATGATACACAGTAAGACAGATGGCTATGAATGAAAGAGTGATAAAGTGAACGAATAATGGGCCTTTCGAAATAATTACGTGATTTAATGATTACGTGTATGCCAAAAGAAACTTTATGCATTAGTGAATGAACATGAATATTATATTTTAGGTGCTCATCTAATGTCACACCCAGAAACCTGGCGCTGTTAGTAACGGGTATTTCATTGTCCCCCATCGTGAGCACCACGGGTGGCACTTTTGATAATGGAGAATGAAATATTACAAATGTAGTTTTAGTGGGGTTAATGTGCAGGCAGTTACGACTGCACCAATCACTTACATTTTTTAAGTCAACATTTAGATTTTGTAACAGTACGGCGATGCTTTTATGAGATGAATATATGGTTGTATCGTCCGCATATAACAAGCAGTCAGTATGGCGAAGTGTTAGGGGCAAATCGTTGATGAAGAGTAGAAAAAGCAGCGGGCCTAGAATAGATCCTTGAGGCACTCCTGTATTAGTAACCTTGGGAGAGGAAACACTACCGTCGATTTGTACAACTTGCGACCTGTTTTTTAGGTAATTCTTAATAAGGCTCAAGGCTGGTCCTGTAATGCCGTAAGATGCGAGCTTGTGAAAAAGAATGGAATGATTAATAGTGTCAAAAGCTTTAGTAAGATCAACAAAGACTGCACCAAATAGTGAACCGTCATCAATGGCTAGTTTGATTTTGTCCGTGAAACTAATGAGCGCCAGTTCGGTTGAGAAACCTGGACGGAAACCAAACTGATGGGGAGAGAGCAAGTCGAATTTTTTGAAATATGACATGAGGCGTTTGTACAAAATCTTTTCGATTACTTTACTAAAAAAAGGAAGAATGCAAATAGGACGGTAATTGTTAATGCATTCACGGTCACCTTTCTTGAAGACGGGAGTTATCTTGCCGTTTTTTAGGGAGGTTGGAAATGTGCCATCCTTGAACATTTTGTTGATGATGTTAGCAAGAACAGGTGAAACATAGTCGATTATCAGCTTAACTCGTGAAGGGTAAATGGAGTCTAAACCCGCCCCGGTTGTTTTTAACGATGATATGACAGAGCGAACTTCAGTGCTAGAAGTAGGATCATCATTCACTTCGCGGATATCTCACTATTTTTATTTAGATACTGATTTTTCTGTGTGTCTGTGTGTTGGCGTGGTCACTGTAGTTCGTTGGGGTATTTTTTTTTCATTGCTACTTTACCTAAAGTCAACAAACCTGAGCGACCGCCTGTAGACTGTGTGTGCTCCCCGAGTGTGCTCGTGATTGTGTGTACCTTCTCATCTCTCTGCAACCTCTTTTCTCCCCTTTATCCCTTCCCCAGTGCAGGGTAGCAAACCGGATGTGCGCCTGGTTAACCTCCTTGCCTTTCCTTGCATCTTTAACTCTCTCTCTCTCTCTCTTTCTCTCTCTCTCTCTCTTGCTTTCGTGTAGGTGACGCTGGTCCGCTCGGGCCTCGAGGTGCTGCAGAACGACTCCTTGGCGGGCACGCGGTTGTCCACGCTACGGCTGATGCACAACTCGCTGAGCCGCATCTTGCCCTGCGCGTTCTGCGGCGCCGAGGACAACCTGGTCTCCCTCGACCTGAGCAACAACGCGCTCGCGCAGGCGCCGCTGCATGCAATGCGCGGACTGCGCCATCTGCAGTGGCTCAACCTTCAGTCCAACCGCATCGACGACCTGCGCCGCGCCGACTGGCAAGAGCTGTCCCGCACCGTCAGCCTCCGGAGCTTGTTCCTCGGGGAGAACAACGTCAAGGTGCGCCCCTCAGTTTATTGGCTAATAGGTTTATTGTGGCATGTGCTTTCATAGTACATATACTGAAATTGGAACTATACAGAAAAGATTAGCGTGGCCGCTCCTCCTGCTTATTGGGGCAGAAAGAATGCAGCCGGACTTTGGCTTAGACGTCGAAAGTAAATGTCTTCATACATTCGTCCGTTACCTCGAATGCTTACTACTAACCACATAACGTGCAGAAACATTCGCTTGATGTGTATGCATTTTTATGCCACTTTAGCAAAGCAATGAGGCTCCTAAATATCTACATTAAAGAAATTAACAGCCTTCGGTTAACACCTCACCGGATATCATATGCATATCGTCTACAGATTCAACTCAACTCGTGAATCACAGCATCAAAAAATTTCAAAGTTTCAGCATGTCATACACTTAGCATTGCGGGGCATGATGTTAATATTCTCTTCAGGTGCGAGTTATAAAATACTGTCAGCAGACCTGCCAAATTTGCTTGCCATGATTTCGTGGCACCTAGTATTATATTCCAAAAAGAAAGAAACGAAGGGATGTGTTGTTCGGTTGAAGTTTCAGTAATTAATGTTAGTTAGCATGCCATTAAATACAATTTATTTGATGTTGACATCTGTACAGTTTATTTGAGATTGGTAAAACTGGCTTAATTAGAGTGGATCCATGACGAAGAGAAAGTGACAGATGAAAAGAAACATCCAGCTGGTTTACTTAGGAGTTAGAGAGAACGGAATTTAAAGGAAGGAAAGTGGCATGAGCTGGAATGTAGGTCAGTGGTGAGGATCATGAAATAGACGAGCAAATATAAAAGACGCCACACGTCCAAAGACAAGCACGAATACATACAGATATGAGCGTGCATGATTACTCATGGTCATTGCTCTTGGAAAGGACTAAACACAAACCACCGACACCGTCTAATATGAATGAATTAATTGAACCTTTATCACATAGAAGATGGCTCTCTGTCCAACTTTGGGACGAGTAGAGGAAAGGTTTGTTGGGTGTACGGCGTTACCATATAAAACTAACATCAGTTAGCGTTAATTCTTTTTTCAGTAGAGGTTCATTGGAGTCGCTCTCGCGCGAGATGGTCGACTTCTTCTACACCGTTCGAAAGAGACCACTTTTATTAGAATAGGTCGCAAGTGCATTTGGTGTAGCGTACACCAGACGTTACGCACATATCATCGGTCGCAGTGACACCGGTCCTAATTGTGAGCACTGTGATGTGCCAGAAACACTTGAGCACATATTTTGTGTCTGCCCAGCATACGCACGTGAACGACAAACACTTATTTCTTCTACTGAACTATATCGCAGTAGGTCATTAACTGATGAGACCGTGTTGGGCCCTTGGCCAGACACCAACAGTGCAACTGCGGTCACAAGAGCAGTTATTACCTTTTTAGAAACGACTGGACTATGTGCGCGGCTATGAAATATGTCTCAGCTAGAAAGAACACTACATACTCACCTCTCTATCTCACCATCGTCCTCCATTAATCTTTCTTTTCCCCTTTCTCTTCCCCCAGTGTAGAGTAGCAGGCTAGAGCAAGCTATCGCTCAGGCCGACCTCTCTGCCTTTCTGTAAATAAGCTTACCTACTCCTCCCTTACCTTGTGCTTCACCATTGGATTGTAGCTCAATGCCAAAGCTTCTTATGTCACCGCGTGGCACGTGTTAAATAATGCGAAAACTTAGGAAGACGAAGGGAAGGGGCATGCGGCGCAGGCACCTGAGCTGCTCTTTAGTGAGCATATAGGTTTATCTAAACTCGAGCGAATCCAATTTTTGTGCAGATCATCCGTGACGGCCTCTTCTCCAACATGAGCGAACTGACGACCCTCGAGCTTGACCGCAACCTGGTGTCCGAAGTGACGGGCTCGCCATTCCCAGAGTCTCTGACGCACCTCAGCCTGGCGCACAACCTGCTCGAGCATCTGCCGCGCCAGGCCTTGAGCAAGCTGCGCTCCTTGTCCGCTCTCTTCCTCGGAGGAAACCTGCTCAAGACGTTGCCGGCCACCTGGTTCCTGCCCACTCGCCGCCTGGACCAGCTGGACCTTAGCCGGAACCTCATGGATCATCTACCAGAGAAGCTTTTCAACGGTCAGTGCGGCTGTAGAATGACTTCGGGTTTAAAATTTTGGTTGAAGCGCACCAAAAAGGCACGCACAGAAAAGGCTGACATAGAAAGCGCTCACTCTCACCACTAACGTTTTATTAATCAGAAAAGCTATTTAAAGCAGATACGTTTATCGTGCAGTACAACTGTGGCTTGGCTAACGCTGTAATGGCCCCTCTTTCGGATATGCCCCGCCGTGGTGGTCTAGTGGCTAAGGTACTCGGCTGCTGACCCGCAGGTCGCGGGATCAAATCCCGACTGCGGCGGCTGCATTTCCGATGGAGGCGGAAATGTTGTAGGCCAGTGTGCTCAGATTTGGGTGTACGTTAAAGAAACCCAGGTGGTCGAAATTTCCGAGTCCTCCACTACGGCGTCTCTCATAATCATATGGTGGTTTTGGGACGTTAAAACTCCCATATCAATCAATCTTTCGGATATAGTATGATTCCACTATCTCGCAATCAGCGGGTCCTTATGGGGCAAAACTATTTCAGTTTCTTTAAACACAGGGTAACATCCGCTGTGTTTCTACAGCGTGTAAAACAAGCCACAATTTGGCTGCACGATAAGGAATAGGCGTAGACACATGGTGCTTGCGACATCTAATAAATGACATGCAACGCAGAAAATTTTGTAAACCCGATACGAGTGTTTTTGTTGTTGTTGTTACTCCCTACTCTGTTACATATGTTCGAAGAACCATGTATCCGCTTTAAATACCTTTTCTTATTAATGAAACTTCAGTTGTGGCAGTAAGCATCATCCTCATCAGCCTCTCCTGTCGGTGTCTTTTCGGTGCGTTTCAACCCGATTTTCAAAGATGAACGTATAACCCAACTGGCCCAACTTGCCATCTTCCTGCACACCACTTTTATTGCGCACAGTTCCACTGTTTGTATGACGTCCTGTTTCGTCTTTCTGAAAATGTGCTCAGGCGTTATGTTTTGACGGAGGTGTGTCGCAAAGCACGTCAACACAGCCACATTGTTGGAATGCCAATTCAAAATATCCTCGCCCCGTAAATCTGCTAAGATATTAACGCTTTCACATGCCACCTATGAGGAACTGTCTGTAAATGTGTAAAATCTACGCAACGTTGTTTCATGACACTCAGTGTGCCATTGCAACAGTTAACATAAAATAATATATGTTAACTTGTGTGTTAGTCACTAAACCTAATTAGGTTGTAATTAAATAAATATTCATCCTGAAGTCATTGGTGCTCTGTTTCGGCATAAATAGAATAAAATATTAGGCTGGAAATGTTGAGCAAATTCATTTTAACTTATATCAATATTGATTGAAGAAATACTTTTCGCATGATCAGCAGGAAGCAGCACATAAAATGACTCGTGGAACGGAGTAGGGCTTTCAGCAAAGTAACCATACGTAGCAATACACTGCGAAATGATGGTAAATAAAAATCAAGTTTATTAAGCAGGCAGTTAAATTAACCTCGATATATCCCGGTCTTTTATATATCCAGTTGACGCACGGAGCAAAAACAAGAGATGTGTGCTGAACTTTTTCATATACCTCGCCAAAGGTTTAACAAACGTTGGCTGAACTCGGTTTACGAAACTGACACTGTCGCAACGATTTCAACAAGAGCAAGGGCAGTGACATTCACTTATCATTCCGCCATAGTTATCGAGCAAGAGCACGCGATGAAGTCGGCGCGTTCCTATTTGTGGAGCAAGATCGTGTGGTGGCGCTCACGCCGTCCCAACAAAAAAAACAAGCACGCAAAGCTCCACGCTCTGCTTCATACATCAAGTACAACGCTGTGGAAGCTAGCGGGGCTTCGTGAATTGAATGCGTTCGCACGATGAAGTCCGGCTACGACGCTCGGCTCCTGACGTGAAGCTCACGGGTGTCGATGCCAGCCCCAGCGGTCACATTTCGGTGGAGGCAAAAAAAAAATCGAAACCCGTGTGCGTGTAAGTGCCCGTTAAATCACGGCCGTTAAGTTTCTAGAATGAACGAGACCCGCGATACAATCCAAGCTTATAACTACATGCAGTGTATACAGTTCGCGCTGCAGAGTTCTCGACAAGAACTCAGCCCTGCTGGCAGCTGCGGCAACGATGCCGCCAGGATTTCCCTATTTTTCTTTAGATACACGGTATTATCGCGAACGCAGCGCGAAGCGGCAAGAGCGGTAGGAAAGCCCAGCTGCCAATATGAGCGTAAACGGCACTTAGTACCGTACCCTTCCGTTTGGATCGATAGGCCTATAGCAACGCTATCGGGTCCGTGCCATCGGCAGAGGGCGCCGCCGTCGACCGGAGTGCGGCTACTGTTTATCCACCGAAGTTTGTGCGTATCGCCCATATTATTTACAGACTCGTCCATCCTGTGTGTGTACCAGGAAATATTTTGGCATTCGCGAGGTTTCCATGACGTCCACAAACTTTGCACACGGAGTGCGGCCAGTCGTCGTTCCGCAATGCGAGTCTAACCCGCTGCACATCGACGATTTTATCTCCATTCACGTTTAGAGCGCCACTGTGATCGAAATCCTGTTTTGACCGCACAGTGTACATGGAAAGTGCTGCTTGCCCAAAAAAAGCACGAACTGTTTTTTTTTTTTGTTTGTTTGTTTGTTTACGCGGATTTTTTTTTTTCCCCCTTCGAATTGACGGAGGTTTTCACGCATAATAGCTCACGGCGCACTCAGATACACGGACGAACAGGGGATACACGAAGACCAGCGCTGTTCCTTCTTCTTCCGTATCTTTTGAGTGCGCTGCGAGCTATTATGGATTTCCACCAACTATATAGCCCGGTCAGAAACGTTGTTACAGATCTTTACGCAGCTTGGGCCTCGTATTTTCCGCATACTGTAGCTCGTATCGCTCGCCTGCTGACGTTCGCTGAAGACGATATTTGCTCTAATGACGACGGGAACTTGATTATTTGTGTGTTTTAATTACTTATATTTGTTCGATGACGCGAAGCAAACGAATCAACGCGACGAAGCGGTGATGTGGTCACATGTAAGCACTATCAACTGTTCTTCTTTGCTTGACGCTAAAATGCAGCTACAGCTATAATAAAATAAAATATACGTGGGAATTTCGGACTCCGTTTTCCAACGCATTAAGTTGCCTTACGTGTCGAGTATTTATGCGAAACGCAAGTATAGATTAAGTACAATAGAGGGGAAAGTTGGGCGAGTTGGAATGCGTGCATGATTAAAGCAGCCCTATGAAGCGGTTGGGAAGTTAAACGTTCGTTTAAGTACGCACCCTGCAAGCACGGGGTCGTATACCGAATTCCGCTTACTTGCGGTAAATTGTACGTGGGACAAAGCGGCAAATGTATGAACGTTCGTTTAAATAAGCATAATCAGTCTTTGAACAAGCCTAACTCATCCAATCTAGCAACGCACCGCAATATTTGTGGCTGCTCTCCGGTGTTCCTAGACGTGTAAGTACTTTCTAGGCACTGTAAAAAAAAAAATGAACTCGTGAATCGTCGAAACTTTTCACATTAAAAGAATGGAAGGCAGATGTATGAGCCATACGTTGATTTCCTTGACAAAGAGTTTGTTTATCAGTTTGACTTACCCAAAATGAAGTGGAAATTTTTCACTTTTTTTTTCCTAAGGATGCGCACGTGTTGAAGCTAGATGAGTTGTTCTAATGTCTCCTTTATGGACGCGTCTTCTATGCCTGGCGCTGTCTTATCGGTTTGGTTTTTCGAAATGAATATTTCAGTTGTGCGACAGCGCTCGTTCTGTGTACCCTGCGTTTTTTCGTATTCGTCTTTGTAGCGCTGCTTGTGTCATGTAACTGGAGTAGGCAGCGAGCATGCCGACGTATTAGCAGCGCTCCGAGACTTACAACTATAAGACGGTGGCAGTGCTGCTGTGAGAAACTCGCGCATGCGCACATTCTCTGGTGAGATATGTCAACTGGAGCTATAAATGGACAATAGTGTGAATTGCGGCAGTGTTCCGCGACGTGTTGGGCAACTTTGTGTCTTTCCATATAAAAAAAAATGAACGGTTCAGGACCCCTTCAGATGTCTCGACTGCGATGACTTGAGAAACCCGCGGCCGGCGAATGAAGTGGTCCTTAAATCTATGAACCCGAAACCCTATACTAACCTTTCCGCATGCCACTCGAGCTGCTAGCGAGGAAGGGGGTGGGGGGGGGGGGGGGGCATGCAGTCGATTAAGAACGGCAAGACAATTGAGAACGTGTCTCGCACGCTATAGCTTGTTATGCCTTGCAAGATCTCTGGCCGCCGAGTGTGGGTATAGCATTGCCTAGTGTGCAGCATGCTTTCGCGCTCAGGTTTTACAGACAGCCTAACGCGTTTACTAATTTTCTTTCTTTGTTACCGGCAGACCACAAGCTATAAAACATCAATTAGTAACTCTAGTATGTATGTTTGCTGTAGTTTTCCTCTTGATGGTTCTCTTGGCTATAGAAAATTTCCCAGATGTCCGTACGCCGGTCGTGTCATTTTGCATTTCACAGGCCGACGTCTTGGTGCAGGTTCGGTGTACGTGCGCGACCTGCACATGGAGTTCAACTTCATCACGGAGCTTCCAGTTGGCCTGTTCCGCAGCGTCTCTGTGGAGCGGCTCTCGCTGGCCAACAACAGGATGGCGGACATCGCAGAACACGTCTTCGGTGGTCTCGAGTCAGTTCTCATCGTGCTCGACTTGAGCTTCAACCTCTTCCGCCGCTTCCCATACGCTGCCCGTGCGCTCGCGTCGCTCTCGGTGCTCTATCTACGTGGCAATGCTCTCACTTCGCTCGAACCGGCCTGACGTGCAGAGTTTTCGTGCCACGCTCGAAGTGCTAGACCTCTCGGGGAATCGGTTCGACCGCGTCCCATCCAGTGCCTTACGGACAACCAAGCGCTTGAGCAGGCTAAGTCTGCAGGACAATCGCATACAGATGCTACACGACGAAGATTTCGAGTTGTGGGCCCGAAACTTGACGACACTGAGCCTGGCCAACAACGGCATCCGCACCCTGTCTAAAGACACGTTCGTGCATCTGCCACGGTTGAGGGAGCTCAAGCTGTCCTTCAACGCCATCCACTTCGTCGACCACCATGTGTTCCTACCTCTACGGTCCACGCTGGAGGTCCTAGAGCTCAGCTCGACGTTGGGACAGCGCTTCCTGCCATTAGAGCTCATTCGCCACATGAAGCGCGTCCAATGGCTCCAGCTGGACCACAACCAAATGCTTAACCTCACCGACTCGTACCTGCAGGGCTTGCCATCTCTCGTACACTTCGACTTGGAAGGTAACAGGATTGGCCACATCACTCCGGGATTCTTCAAAGAGCCCATTCACCAAAGGCTCAACAGGGTAGTGCTCGCTCACAATGACCTCAATTCAGTGGACAGTGGAACATTCAGGAACTTGTCGAGGCTTGCAAACGTCGTGCTTCTGGGAAACAAAATACGCGTCCTTAGAAGCGGCTCTTTTAAAGATCTCCCACTGCTTCACAACGTTGTCTTGTCTAGAAATAGAATCGACACCATAGAAGCGGGTGCATTCAACAATCTCTCGAAACTTTCGAGTCTCCTTCTACAGCATAACAACCTTACGTCATTCAGCCTGGATTGCCTCTACGGGTCAAGAAGCAGTGCTCTACTCTTGAACTTGTCTCAGAACTCTCTCGTTTCACTTCACGCTGGAGCAGAGGTTCCAGATTCGTCATTCAATGAGACGCGTGGCTACGGCGTGCATACTTTGGACCTTCGCCACAACCAGCTGGCTGAAATCGACGACAATTTTCTGGCCACTGTGGGCTCTACCTTACTGAATTTATTCATTTCCAACAACAAGATTTCAGGACTCAGTGGCATCTTCGATGCACTCAGCGTTTTGCAAACCTTCTACGCAGACCGCAATGCGATTTCCAACGTCACTTTCGGCGCATTCCAGTGGTCGCCAGAGCTGCAGGTATGTACTACGTACTGTCTCCTTTTCTTTATATTTAGTACCTTGTGGAAATTATTGAAGTGTGTTGTCTGCCTTTCTTCTGTTGTTTACGTATCTGCACGGCTTATTATAGGTCATGACGAATCTCAGCCAGCCATCCTAAATGTTGTGATTCTTGTAAACTATGTCACCAGCCCATTAGGTAAAATGAATATGCAGGAAGCCTTGAGGGATGAGGGCGTACTTTATGAAGGCCAAAAAAGGCTAATTGTGAATCTGCACTTCATAATTGCAACAAAAATGGCGCACAAGACATTTTGAAGAAAGCGTCTGAGGAAAACTGATTAATTTGCTGGCCTAGTTGGAGGTGGGATACTTTTCTATGTATGCCACAAAAAAAAAAACAAGTTGTGGTATATAGTTACGTTGAAAATGGCACAGAATACATTTTTAACAAAGCGGCTGAGGAAAACTAGTGAATTTTCCGGCCTAGTGGGAAGAGGGCACTTAATTAAGAATGCTACAGAAAGACAAATTCGAGTATTTACAATCCTTAGTTGCACGGGAAAAAAAAGGTCACACAGGCAATTTTTAAGAGAACTTCTGATGAAACTTGATGAATTTGTTGGTGAAACTAAAGATAACTCATTTTTATGGCCAGTGGCATTGTCTACAGCAGTATGTTTTTGATGCGGACGATGGCGCCACTCTTTCCAATGACAGCTCTCGCCCCTGAGACACTACAGTAGGAGTAAGGCGATGTATCGAACGGTTCTCATTAGTCTAACAGAAACGTCTTGATTATATTAGTGATGCCGGAGAATGAATCGTCCACATATCTGTCCTAACATTGCTGCAGGTGATCGTCTTGAGCGACAACAAGATCGAATCCATCGGTGAATTCGCATTTGTGAACTTGACGAGGCTTCGAGTCGTCGACCTCAGTCACAACCGGATCGCCTCCATTCCAGAGGATGCTTTCGAAAACACGGCTCTCGAAAGGCTCAACCTCTCCTTCAACAACATGACGCACTTCAACTGCATCGCGGCTGTCAAAGACACGTTACGTGTCCTCGACTTGTCCGGCAACCGCATCTCCAGCATCGGTGCTCATCACTTCGACGGTTTTCATACCAGTGTTGGCGCTCAACTTCTCTCGGAACCAATTGATCGCCGTCGACGAAAACTCGTTCGCCGGCCTGGCTCAACTAATGCACCTGGACCTAGCCCACAATCCGCTGTTCACTCTGAACAGGGCCTGCCTCTTACCGCTCAAGACTCTGGGCACTCTCAAGCTCAGGAAACTGCAGCCTGGCCAGACTTCCACCGTTCCACCTGAAAAGGTCAGTATCGCACGAAGCGAATTTCAATTGTCACTTTTGTTTCGGTGGATGCGGAGCAACCGAGCCCACAGTATGCTTTCAAATGGGCAGCAGCAGCAGTGGCCGTAGCTAGGTACTTGTTTTGGGTGGGGCCGCTCTCTACCAAATGATCTGGGTTATAGTGAGTAAAGACGACGATGAACAGGAAAGCACGCATACCCAAACGCACGCACACACTCCCAACAAGTTTATTCCTAGAATTCCTAGGGAAAAAAACATGGGCGCAATCTATGCAGACAGGGTTGTTTCGTTTTATCGCTACACAGTCGCATTTAGACCCTGCAACTATTTTTTCGACAAAGCAATAAAGACTAGAGGCCACACTTTGGCAAATATCACTGGCTTTAATACTCGTTTTGTTCGCAGTAATTAATATATTCCACTTGTCTCCACTCTTGGCAAACACAGATCAGCTGCGAACATCCGACACACTTCTGTAGTTTCTGCAATTTATTGCCTGGGGACCCTCTTTGCCATACTTAACACTGTTGCGATGCTGTCTGAGCCTGTCGTTTATGCACTACTCAGTTTGGCCCATGTACGTTTGCGAAATTATAGGAGAGTATCGTAGACCACACCAACCTGGCATTTGACATAATTACTTTTGTGGCTTACTGTACAGGCTTGTGCTCTCCGGGGGCAAGGATTTGGCTTTCCGCAAAGTTTAGGCATTTTCAAAGGGACAGACAAGACCACCTTTACCTCTTCACGCGTGGCAATATTTTTCGTGATACGGGTCATGCGTTGAACATGCTGTATCACAGCTAACTTCTCTTCTACATGAGGTGGCTCTTGGTCCACTTGCAAGGTTCGCAATTGTTCAGAATTGTTTCAGCTAAACAAACAAACACAATTAGCTGGCGGAAAGCCTGCCTCATCCAAGAAGTTGATCTATTTGCTTGAAGTCTCCCCTACACGACGGCATTGCATTTACTGAAAACATTAAGCAAGCAGATGTTGTCGATGCTACGCTTAACAAGCTTTGATTGACAGAAGCTGAAGGGTAGCAGCAATAGACTTGCCCGGGGTCCATACTGCCAGCAGGCAGGGTTAGTATAAAAATTATCGCTTATCTAAAAGCCATATGAAGTATTCGTCCAGCAGTTCATGAGTTACTTACAGTGAAAATAAATGTATCTTAAAGCTGTGTAGGTTTTGTGAACGAAACTTTAAAGTCATCGACAAACCTGAAAACTTTTGTGTCGCCAGTACCCTCAATAAGACGGGAATAGGTCGGCCTACCTGAGCTAAAAGTAAATCACTTGAAAATTGGGACCGTCCCATTCAGTGTAGGTGGACCTGAGACGCAATTCTTAGAGTGCCATGAAATTGGCTTCCGGGATTCTGAAGTCGTTCGTAAACGACACTGCATCATTCTTCTATGCATTCTTGGACGCACGGAAGTAACGCATCCTTTGGCATTCAATAATACAAGTCCTTCAAACCTAAATAGAATGCCTTGAAAGGGAACCCTGCCTGCTCTGAAAGGAATATAACGAGGTCGGCGAAATCGTGGACCAAAGGGGTTTTCCACCGTGAGCAGCTGAAGCTTCTCTTGCAGAAAGACTGCGAGACCCTTCTGCCTGGTATTAGACTAAATACAATCACTCTGAAGGCATAGTTTAACTTGTGTGTCTTGGCGCTAAAAAGTACTTGGAGTGCTACTTGGCTCTTTCTAAATTTTCTCATTAGCTCAGACAGGTTCGCATTATGACAGAACTTCGTTAGCTTCACTTTCCAGCTCTTTGAGAGAAGCAAGAAATCTAAAGAACGTAATTCTCAAACAGCCGGTAACAAGTAAGTCGCAGAGGAGAGAAAGAAAAGCAAAAGAGAAATGCGGCGAGGTTAACCAAGTTGTACCCGGTTTGCCTACCCTACACGGAAGAAGGGAACTGCGTCGCAGAAGTGGATATTTACTCAAAGCTAGCGCTAACTAGCAGTCATTTCGAGCAGCGAGTGGATGCATGGGCGTTTAACTGGAAGTGCCGTTGCATACGACGCACCATTCTGCTGTTCACCTATTGGGAAATGCTGATTTGTGATAAGTGTGGTAACAGTATTGGCCCGTTATTGCACCCTGAATGAAGACGGTGGATCGCAGAAAAACACAAGAGCAAGTGAACGCACACAAAAGGGCAGATCGGCGTCCGCAATGCACATGCACCTGCGCGTCCATAGCGCTTTCATTTGTATTTCAAGCTTCCTTGTACTCATGCGCCATTGAATTTTGCCTTACATTCGACTCATTGAGTTACGCATGTTCCACTGGCAGGTTGTCGAACTTAGATGTGGCTGAGAACTTTCTGTTCAACCTGTCCACCGAGACGTTCCGACACCTGAGGAGTCTTCGAGCGTTGGACGTGTCCCGCAACCTGCTCGAGACGATGCCCCGTCACCTCTGGCGGTTCTTGCCCCTGCTACACTCGCTAGATGTGTCGGGTAACCCGATCTCCTCGTTGGCCCTCGACAGCTTCGCCGACGCTCATGGTCTGCAGTCCCTGGACATCAGGCGTCTGCAGTTGAAGTTCTTAGACCCCAGAGCTCTGCACGGTCTCAGGTTTGATCCTTCTTTCTACTTCCTATCGCACTATCAAAATAATATTAACCCCAGGTGGTCGAAATTTCCGGAGCCCTTCACTACGGCGTCTCTCATAATCATATGGTGGTTTTGGGACGTTAAACCCCAAATATCAATCAATCAATCAATCAATATCAAACGATACTGAAATCGGCGCAAAACGTTTAAAAAATGTCCAAAAGTATCGAGCCTCACATGCAATGTGCCAGCGCGCGCCGCTCAACTGTCTATACTGTATATTAGGGATACTATTCGGAGTAAAGCTTACGTGCTTATCTCTTCTTTCTGTTTTATTTCCAACTAGAAGCGTCTGTTCTGTTCATTTGTGTTCCTCCTTTGTCTTGTGTATCGTCAGGTGTCTCTTTTTAATTCACTGGATTACTGTAAAAAAAAAGCAATGATAACAAAACGGTGCAGGCGATGGTACTCAGTACCACAGGTCGGCAAGCTCACTCGAGTCGATTCACTCAGACTGAAGTCAAGTCGTGAATTTGAGTGAGTCCGGCTAAGTAATGCACTGGTGAACTTGACATTGAGTGAGCCCGGCTTAGAAAAAGGTTTCGTGACTGTGAGTGTGAGTATATATACAGCGGAGAAAAATTTCGCTGAGTCAGAGTGGGCCCTTCAGAGCGAAATTTAACTCTTGAGTGAGTCGGAGTGAGCTCGAACGTTTCTTCACGGGTAAAGCACCTCGGGGTCTGGGCTTGTCCGTTGGTGACGATGACGATGCTGAGGATGAATAAGCGCATTCCAGAGCACACATCCTCTTCTGCCGTGGATGAAAATGGTCGCGAAAGTGCTCTCGTCCACGAAAGTTAGAGCGGCAACGCCGCTTACCGAGTGTGACTTCCTTAGCTTTGTCAGCTAAAGAAAAAAAAGGTATCTAGAATCTTCGCTTTGACGTTGGCGAGTGCAGACTGTTGCAATCGGGGACGACACGTGCATGAGCTGCGCTGTTAATTTGCATGGTGTTTTCTACGTTTTATACAATCTACTGTTATTGTACAAATAGCATGTGTGATCGCAAATAAAACATTAGTTGCAAGTTAGTGTTGTGTGCGAGTGTGTATCTCTCTTTTGTGTCGTTGTCATGGTGCGCTGTACCTATGTGAACGATGAACGGCAACGCGGACAAGCTGCTACTCCAGACCCGAGAGCGTGGCTTGCGGTTTCTCAACGTCTACGCAGACAGCAAGCTATCCCGGAGGCGAGAGGTCGGGAAGCAGCGCCAAAACGGCATCGCCGACAACAAACTGCTACTCCGCAGTTTAGGACTCGGGGAGCGGCGGCTCAATGGCAAAGACACATTCTATATACTGATGATTTGATTCAAATGTGGGGTTTAACTGCCATATGATTGTGAGAGACGCCATAGTGGAGGGCTCCGGTAGTTTCGACCAACTGGAGTTCTTTAACGTGCACCCAAATCTGTGCTCTGCAGCATTTCGGCCTCCATCGAAAATGCAGCCGGGATTCGATCCCGCAACCTGCGCGCCAGCAGACGAGTACCTTAGCCACAAGACCACGGCGGTGGGGCCGCATTCTATAGACTGTACGCACGCGCTCTCATTCATTTGAATGCACGAGTGAGCAGTGTCATGGGGGATTTACGGCAAGAAAGATCCCCAGTGATTCGCCCATTCGTTGTTATTCACGACGTGAAGAACGTAGATTTTTTTTAGGGGCGAAGCTCCTTAGGGCGTGGGCTGTGCGTCCCCTGTATGTAGCCACCTCTAGTTTAGTTCTTGCAGTGTTCACTAGATGGCGGTACCGTCCCCTGTATGTAGCCACCTCTAGTTTAGTTCTTGTAGTGTTCACTAGATGGCGGTACCGTCTCCTGTATGTAGCCACCTCTCGTTTAGTTCTTGTAGTGTTTACTAGATAGTGGTACTTGTAGCTGATGATGAAAAGATGCAAGATGTTATAAACTAGAAAGCGGTACTTGTAGTTGATGTAAGACGCGAGATCTTATAAAATAGGAATGATGTCACATATGGCGCGTGTCATTGGTTGAAGGCAATCGTTCGATTTAGTGCGGCGACGTACACTAGGGGGAGCGATGTAATAAAATCGAGTGGGCAAAATGTACAGAGGATTCATGGTTTACCAGGTTTACCTCCGGAGCTTCGCCCACTCATCATCATTCACTTCGTGGATATGGCGGCACTTTTTTTTTCGCTGACGAATGTTCCTATGCCTTCTTCCACGCAGGTTCTTGAGGAGCCTTCGCACGACCAGCTACGGATCGGTGCGCTCGTTCCGGCTCCAGGAGCTCGTGTCGCAGCTGCACTCGCTGCGTCGAGTGCTGGTCGAAGTGGAGGAGCCGGTGCTCTCGCACCAGCTCCAGTGGGCGTTCGGCGCCAAGCTCAGCGAACTGACGGTGACCGGCCGCCAGCTGCGCGTCGTGTTTCCCGACGCCCTGCTCGGCCTGCACGGCAGCCACGAGCTGGTGCTCCGGCTGACCGGCACCAGCATACGGCGCCTTCCGGCGGGCCTGCTCCGCTACCTGGCCGACGTGCGCTACCTGACGCTCGACCTGCGCGACAACCTGCTCTCGTCCATTGGACCCGAGGTACTAAGGCCGCCGGGCGGCGAAGACTGGAAAGGCACGCAGCACCTGGCCGGTGAGAGGCACCCTCTTATTTTGTAGCTGTTGAGGCCTGTACTCTTCGACACCCTTCTTTGTCTTTGTTTGTGGGCCATGAAACCGTAAAGACGTATTTTATTACAGTTACTTTGCTACAGACCATCACGCGAAAACAAGAGAGCGACAAGGCATGGACGAGAAAAGAAGATTACGAAAGCGTATCCACTCAAGTTTATTTGTCTAACAGTTAATAATACACCAAACGTCAATTGAATTAGCAAGTTGTATCAGCCAAGCGTCGAAGACCATGTCGTGAGCACAAAGGATTTGCGTTCAACCGTCTTTTTTATGAAAAGGAACATGCGAGCACGTGGCAGATAGCCTCGCGCCGCACGTGTGGTGCGATGGAGCGGCGAAAAGCAAAATAAAAGTCGAGAGTCACGGCCTCCGAGATTTCTCTGCCAGCGAACGTGTATGAAGTGCGAAACTCCTCAAGATCGATCGAATTCGCTTTCCTTCACAACGATCTGCCTTTTATTCACGGGAGTGAACTTTTCATCATGAATTTTGTAAGAGCCAATGGTGTGATCCGAGGGACACCACGCGAGGTGTGTAGAAAGTAGGGTGAACGTAGAGTAGAGCTTAGTATCGTTGGCACACACCCATGCTGGAAGTCGGCCAAGAACCGGATAGTTGTAAGAAAATACCTCAATTTTGTTAGTTTACGTCTTCTTGCATGCCATTGCAAAAATTCTCCCCTGATTCATCGCCGTCGCCCTCATCGACCCGCTGTGCGCGATCTTTTATATATACGTGACTATCCATTTGTTAATGTGACGAATATGGTGGTCGATTGGTTATGAGGCTCGACTGCCAACCTGCAGGTCACGTGATCGAATTGGCCGCTTGGCGGCTGCATTGTCAGTAGAAGCGTAAATGCTCAATACACTGAAAGGATTTCTTTTCGGGCGAGCTGGTGCTTACATTTCTTCTTTTTTTTCATTCATTTTATTCACTTTCTTCTATTCTGCACCACCGCCCCCTCATTTTTACATAGCGTACTTTGCACCACAATCTGGTGTGTCTAATCAAGGTGTAAGGTCCGCGTACTTGGAATTAGGCGCACGTTGCACACCAGCTGGTGGAAATTTTCGGAGCCTTTGACTACGACGTTCTTCACAATCATATCGCTATTTCAGGACGTTAAACCCCAACAGTTATTGCTAACATTTATTTAGATTCTAACCGAAGCTCGTAGAAACCATGCTGCGCTTAAGAAAGAACGATTTTTGGTTATTCATTGTGCCATACAAGTACGTATCTGACCGCAACCTCAGGTGGCATCCGGCTGGAGAACAACCCCTGGGTGTGTGACTGCCAGCTGCTGTGGCTGAGCCGTTGGCTGCGGCGCTGGCTGCGGGAGACTCTGCGCGTCCAGATGCTTCACTTCGACGCCGCCATCTACGTCCACAACCTGGCCCGACAGAGCGAATGCACTTACCCGGAGGGACAGCTGCGCAAGCCGCTCATCGACCTCCAGGAGGACGACTTGCAGTGCGCGTCGTTCGCAAGTCACACCGTGACTCCGAGCCGCATCTTGACTTTCGCTATGGCAACTCTCATCTGGACGCTCTCGACCGGAGGATGACGTGTGTTCTCCTAAGTGTGCTCTGCAGTTTAGCGATTCTGTGGGACTCGCCTTGCGTTCGACGAAGGACAACACCAACTGGGACATGTACTCACTAACGTCCAGGTGCGCGTCTTGACGTGTGGTTTTGGGCGTATGTGCGAGTGTCAGAATACCGAAGCCTTCCTTGTGAGGAGCGTACATCCCAAGCTTACGACAATCGTTGCCAAAGAGGGACGGTTGATGCGCATCAGCCCTCAATCGTCGGCCAGCGCTTCCAGTAGAATGTTTGTGTAATGCGTTGAATGGCGTCAGCTCCCATCGCAGCTGGTGTTTGTGAGACTACTTTGGGAGCGCTTGTACATAGACTTTAGCAACAGATGAGTGCCACGTTTCCTCTCGTCTAAGCTAGAACCGATCTTGGGGAGCCCTTCTACCCAAATGCACGAGAATAGTTTTGCCCGTCGTAGTCACTGAACTTAATTTGGAGGTTAACTTGGTACTCCTAAAAGAAAGGTGACATTCTCTAAGACTAAGGCATTAGTACAGAATAGGGAAAAAATGGCGGGTGTACCATTCATTCTACTGATCAATGCATTGTTGCATAGAGGAGTTGCCGGTCTAGGGAGTCGCCATAGTGTGTTTTTCTTGAGTATAGTAAAATGTTTTCAAATGTGCTTGCTCAAGTAACCAATCTTTATTTCTTCTTCTCATAATCACAACCATCGTTCAAATTTGTTCAGTGATTACTCTATATGAGAGGGTATACGTTTCACACGTATTTGGTCGTGATGGCTGTTCTTTGCCACGTGTGAATGCTAACTTAAACGGGAGAGCTGATGTACAAAAGCAGCCGATGCAATAAGCAAGGCTAGACGTACAAGAAGCCCAGCAGATTCTGTGCCAAGATATTCAGCAGCGACTCAGACTTCGTACAATGAACCCAGCACTTGGATGCTGTGACCTTCTTCTGTCATGCAATGTGACTTTCCGTCAGATTTCTCGTTTTCAATGTTTCTCGTCAACAAGTATGCGAGTGTGAATGTCGCCATTTCTTCCACCAACGCTTCGTGACTATTCTCTTTCCTCTGATAAGACATATTTCTTCTAGTAAAGTGCTTTCAGATTTTGTCTGTGTGTTTTTTTAGTTTCACCTAATAAAACGTGTTTTTCTATTGGACATTTGCTTTATTTATTTTTTCTTCTACTAGATTTATTTGCTATTAAAATTTGCTCTTGCTCACACGAAACTTTCGTGCGAATTTCGATTTATTTGGTTCAGTAAAACACTCTGTGGCCTTTAGAATTTCTGCTCCTAGCGTTCGGATAGTCCAATTCAGAGAACAACAGGACAAAGTTTGCAAATCAGTGTGCTTTGTGAACAGAAAGTATAAATGTACAAAGATGTCTTGTGTCACCGACAGCGTGAACTTATAGGACAGGGGCAGTAGAGGCTCGTGTTGTTTTTGTTTCAACTTGCAGAAAAGCCTCAGATTGAGCGCCAGAGAGGCCTTATCAAACGCAAACATTTGATGTCGGCGTCGGCCACTTCCGGCGACGTCAACACGAGTGATGAAAAAAAAAATCTGGCGGTGACGTCGCCGTACGACATCAGACGTGACGTCACAGTTCTTCAAAATTGGTCACATTGCAAAGCCGCTGTGACGTCACGAAGCGGGACGTCATATGACATGACCGCTGGATTAAAGGTGGGCTGATCACGGAGGCTATGCAAAAGAAGACGAGTTACAAAAAGCTGGCAATGTCTCCGATCTTGGAGGCTGTGCTATACTACATTAAGTGCAGAAATGATTTGAGGAGGGCAGGGGGGAGGGGGGGCGGTTTCAATACATCGACCGTGAAGGAAAATATGATGGTTTTACCTCCTAGTCGTCTTTGAAGAATCAATAAAGATTCCCGTGAGTTTGAGTTATTAGGTACAGTCATTTGCAAAGCTTAACAGGAACGTTTCGACTCGTAACCTGGCCTAATTTGACTGATGCCAGCCGCGAGGCACTGGCGCTGTGGCCGAGATAATACCTCGGTATGCTTGAATAGTGTGTATTCGTGCACGGGTAACATGTCTGCAACAGAGCCCACATTTACACGGCACAAGCGTCAAACTGATTCAAGACACGCTGCCGATTGTTCGTCTTAAGTTCGCTGACGACTCTGCGTGCAAAGTGCAGTAAGCTTGATCGTCAAGTCGCACGCCTCGTTTGTGAACATAACTCTCAAAAGTGTTAAAGTGGCTGCGCATTGCTTTGACCTTTCTGTGGTTTGAAATTGTGCCGAAAACACAAGCTATAATCACTATACGTAATATCCACGTGTCTTGCGTTGTTAAGCTAAAAAAAAAAGCGAGACTACTATAGATGGCTGACGTGGTCACCGCATGAAACTGACATGACAGCGATGCATTATAGATTATCCCCCGTATTCACAAATGCTCCTCGACTAGACTTTCACCCTTCACTTGACAGAGTTGAGCACTGCGCCACCAGTCGGCTGAAAATGACGCCGCGCTACTCAAGAATCGCAGCAGACTATCGCTGATATGCAGTGATTTACCGTACCTAGAGATGGCGCTTTCATCGCCTTTTTCAAGTGAAGGCGAAGCGTTCAGTGAAGGGAGGTTCTAGAATACGGGGGTATGTCTAAGAGTCATTATTGCTTTGTTGCCCGCGTCCACTGATCCGGCATGCCGTGTCACGGAGACAACAGCTGCACCACCGCCTTATCAGTTTGACAAGAATTTGTTGTTTTATGAAACACGCAGTACTGCTTCCATGTCAGGGGTGAGCTCACTTAGCATCCGTGATGAAGTTCCGCGATGCCGATACGAGACACGGAAAAGAGATCTAGGATTAACTATAGAACTATAGAGTTGAAATTTCGGCGGTTGTAGCACGTGATCACCTCTTTAAAAGCTTTGCCGAAGGACAAGGAAAAAAGAAGAGACGAGCGCTGACTCACAACTGATGGCCGATGAGACAACCCAATTTTTTTTTTCTGAAAGATCATCGTTTCTGGCCTACCTAAGAAAAAGAGGAGAACGCTCGTGCTGAATGAAAGCGTATACTTGGTCTTTGTAACCAAAAGGCACTGAAAGATCACTCCAAAACTCTTTGCCAAGTACCCAAGTTCCCCAGTGAGTGTTCCAGTCACAAGCCAATAAGTAGTTTTTTTTAATGCAGTTTAAAATAAGGTTCCTGCACGCACAAGTGTTATAGTATAAGAGGAGTGCATCGAAGCAGCGGAAAGATTAAGAGAATGCTCCGACAATCGGGAATCTCTGCACACCCCTGATGATCACATTGTCAGAAGACGGCTCAGGGTGTTGAATACCGACAAAGGTAGTTGTGGTTACGACAAGAGATGCGTATTGTCGAAAGAAAACAAACCCCCGAAAAATCAAGCAGCATAAAAAAATGAGGAGGAGGAGGAAGGGAAGAAATGAAAGGCTGGGAGGTCAACCGGACGCACGTCCGGTTTGCTACCCTGCACCGGGGGAAGGGGTGAGGGGATGAGAACCCCAACAACACCGATGACTTAGAACAAACGTTTAGTCATCGACACTGCGCAATATATATTTGCGCAGTCTAAAAAGGTAATAAAGCAACAGATAAATGGTAAACAGTGACAATCTAAACCTATTGTCAGTATAGACACGGCATAATACGCACATTGCGCGTGCAAACGCCTGAAATGTAATATTTACCTGATCTCAAAGCATTTGAAGGGCTCTTCACACACACACCACCCAGCCTAAAGTCATTTCCGAAAAGCTGAGGCAGGCCATTTCCTGTCAGTTGGTCCCGATGAGGGATAACCACCATGCAATGCGAAACTCTGGAACGCAGCCTCGTTTTCAAGAGTGAATACCAAAGTGGCCAGATGCTGCTGAAGAAACGCTCTAAGCGTGAGTCTCTTTTAGTAGCTCGTTCAGACACTGGCGCTTTTGGTCCATTCACAGTTCCTCACAGGACAGGGAAACACACCACGCCTTCAGCAGATGGAACTAGAACTCATTCCGATGCTAAGTCCTGCATGCACCAACTTCTCGAGAAACACGGTTCAGGGCCTTACACAAACTACCCAGCTACTCGGGTGGTGCTGAGAAAAGCACGTCTATATACCTGGCATATGCTAGTTATTCACGTTAGCTGGTAGTAGCTGTATACCATGAGTTGAATAGTGCTGTATCATCTTTTGGTTGATCTACCTCAATACATGCTTACCTGCATGATGTCGCTTTCGGGTCATGAGATGTGAAAGCGGCGAGAGAATTGAAGCAGGTCAAGCAAAACGACGAAGGGAAAGTCCTCGTAATCACTCTATAGCTGATGCCAGGCCGCGCCTGGCCTAGCTACTATAGGTGCCACAACAGTGTCAGAACGTATGATTTCCCGATTCATGCATCGAAATATCAGAACATTCTGCCTCGACAGTGTCAGAATGTGGAATTCCCCAATTCTTGCATCGAAAGATACGCAGTACAAATGGAAAAGGAACAAAATGTGCGTTCCAAGCCGAAGGGCACAGACAGACTGCCATTTTGCACTCTGCATCTTCACGAGCTGTCGGAGCAGGCGGTGACAAAGTATGCATTTTCGGAATTCTTAAAGGGCCCTTAAATTAACCAATGCCTCCTACCGGAATAATTCAAGCCTACTCATTACTCCGGGCACGGCTTCTGACGTCAATCAGTTTCAGCCCTCCTATCTTGCCTATCGTGCGCATGAATGCTTCCGCTGTGCGAGATAGCAGGATTTCCAAGCTTCACGAAGCCTTTCGTGTCGTGCTGCTGTTTCTTTTGGCGACTGCATGAAGATGACCATGTTATTCTGCGTCTGTGAAGTGCTGCTGCGCTTCGTACACCGAATGTTCGCGTAGTGTATTCGCCTGCAGGCTCCCGCAATGGAACAACGCCCCGGGCCCAACTGTCGCCAATATTGACAATGTGCCGAAGCTCCGAGTGTTTTCTTTTCCCAAGCGACGACCGGAAAGCGAAATGAGGGCGTGCCTTTCGTCGGAATGAGACGCGTTCTCTCCGTCATTCGAAGGTATGTGTGTCCATGTACTACTTTGCTTACTTTTGAGTTGATTTAAAAGAGAGCCCCGCCTCGGTAGTCTACTGGCTAAGGTACTCGGCTGCTGACCCGCAGGTCACGGGTTCGAATCTGCGGCGGCTGCATTTCCGATAGAGGCGGAAATGTTGTAGGCCCGTGTGCTCAGATCTTGGTGCACGTTAAAGAACCCCAGGTGGTCGACATTTCCGGAGCCCTCCACTACGGCGTCTCTCATAAACATATGGTGGTTTTGGGGCGTTAAACCCCACATATCTATCAATAAATGTTTTAAAAGACACACTTCTATCACACCTCGTTTTCTTTCTGTAAAATGATGACAAATAATGACGTGTGCGCTTTCTACATTATAGCGGAAGCCTTTTCGTTACATACATTTATATCTGGGCGCCGCTGGCGCTCAGCCACACGATAAGGAGTCTTAGAATAGCGCACCGCGAGCCCTTGCGATGCGGTCGTTGACACTGCGCATGCGTCATAACGCGAGTCGGCGTTTGCGTTCGCGGCCCACGCGCAGGAAATCCGAAATTGCGTGCGGCGATCGCGGCCCGCATGTGGCCCGCAAGCGCTGGTTTCGAGGCTACGTTGTCGCTGCGATCGTGCGTTGCGGTGCAGCAGGGCAAACGCTATTCTAAAACTCATACGGCACCCGCTACGCCCGCAACGCCCACAGCGCTTGCAAACGGTATTCTAAAGCTCCCCGATAACGTATACATATATAGCGTCCAGAGACAGAGCTAGTAACTGCACAAGATTTCGCCTTTTAGGAGCGAAGCTCCTTAAGGCGTGGGCTGTGCGTCCCCTGTATGTAGCCACCTCTCGTTCAGTTCTAAGTATTACGCTAGCCACCGCCCGATCTAAAGGGTACAGCCATGTCCGTCCGTCCGTCCGTCCGTCCGTCCATCCGTCCGTCCGTCCGTCCGTCCGTCCATTCATCCGTCCGTCCGTCCGTCCATCCATCCGTCCGTCCGTCCGTCCGTCCGTCCGTCCAAAAGATGCAAGATGTTATAAACTAGACGGCGGTACGTGTAGTTGATTATGAAAGATGCGAGGTGTTATGAAATAGGAATGATGCCACATATGGCGCGTGTC